TCTTCATAATAAAAATAAATTAATTGGTTCATTTGGAGTCTTCAACACACATTCAGTTTCACCCTTGAAATAAATATAAATAAATAACTTAATGTTTAAAATGCATTCATGACTGAGTCTTCTCTGACATCATCTCAATTGTTCCTCAACCTAAGAAACGTTTCACTCCAGTAGTGACTCAAATTCTCCCTTCTCCTTTGTTTGTTTTAAACCTCTCTTTGGTCACGTCAGTGTTCCCCCGACCTCCCTCATGTTACATAACAACCACACTTTATAAAAACAACATTCACACAATAAAAAAACAGTCATCAATAAATATTCAAGCATAAATAATAAATAAATATCAGTTCAAAAAATATATCAATAACCTGTTTTCATCTGGACACTAAATCCTTTAAATCTCAATGTGTGAAACATTTAACAATTGTGTTGTTGACAGATTTCTCTAGTTAAAATTATTTTTGTTTGTGTAATGCTGAATGTTTTAGAATTCTATGGTTGAAATAAACGTGAAAAATATAAGTTTGACTTTCTGCTTGCGTCACTGTTTTGCTTTAAAACTTCAGATGGAATCTCTTTCTTTCTGTATTGACATGCATCTTCATAACTTCCAAAAATGCTGCAGACAAAAAGAAACAAGAGTCAGAAAGAGCTGCAGGTTTCAGGAGCTGAGCAGGTTTAGACCTGCACATCTCTGATCTGTCAAAATCGTCTCTGCAGTAGTGGAAGGTTTTTAAACTCGTTCACATTCCTGCTCATTGTTTTTTTGGCCAGATGAGGCAGAGCTCTGATCCTTTAGATGACAGACAAGCTGGAAACGCAAAGTTGTTCTGGATAGTTCTGCATTACTGCATCCCGTCTGACCAAGTAGTGAGACCCTGAGAAACACTTCAAAATGTATAAATAAATAAATAAACAGATTTGAAAATGAAGCAGCAGAATCTTTTCCTTTGGAAAGATGGTTCACTTGGGGAGAATAAAATAATAAATATCTGAATTGCTGAGTTCGTCAGAAGAAGAAGTGGTGATGTCTGTCAGCTTTGAGAACAGAATGCTGCAGCAGTCTTAAGTTTGTTTACATCAGATGGTATATGGTAGCTCAAAGAGAAGAATCCAGTGATTGTCTTTGACCGTCATTCCCTGATTGATAAGAAATAAAGATTTCTCATGAGGCACTGCAGGAAGACATATCGGAGGTCTCTCTATCCAACTCATCAGACTTTTTCCCAGTATCCTTGAAAACATATTGGGGTCTGCTCAGGTTGAGCTTAGCGTGCTCCTGTTGCTCGTGGCCTATAAGAGGCAACAGCTCTCAGGCTTCGGATCAGATCATGACAGAAGGAACGAAGTTGTGTCAATGTAAGGTGGACTGCCACCTGGACATCATAGTCACCATGGGGACTAAAGGCCAGGTCTGGACTGTGGTCCTGATCATCCGCGCCACTGCTGCCAAGCTGAGCCACCTCCTTCATCTAAGACAAACACAGAAACACAGAGTCAGCTGTCATTTACAGTGAAGCACAACGGAACAGGTAGTGCAGTGTTAGCATGTCAGGGCTGTGTGGTACCTTGTTGATGTGTGTCAGCAGGTCTCTGAGGTCGGCTTTCAGGTCGCTCAGTCCACTCAGTTTGTTAGACAAAACTCCCAGGAGCCCCTGGTACAGTTTGGTGCCCGCTGACATGCGGTTTACACAGATCTCCTATAGGGGTGACACAAAGTTAGTTATTTGCAGGAAACAACCTCAAGATGAGATCAGAAACATCATTGAAGAACTTCCTGAAGAACGTTAGGAATGCAGATGGCCTGCTGCTGTGGCCATGTCTGCACTCCAACTGCTACATAAATAACTATGAGTCTTATGTCAGATTGTGTCTATTATCATTGTCACAATTGTTGATGTGAATGTAAGAGCTGCCTACTTCAACTACTAGAATTAACGTTATCAGTCCTCCTCCATGTCATTGTCATCCTCTGAGCCTGGTTGTCCACCAGTGGCTCAACCCCTCCCCAGTTAATTAAGATCCACTTGATCCTCCTAAACACTGAATCAATCACTTTGGCACACAAAGAACTCTCTACGGGACCATCAAAACCTCACAAAACTTCAGATCCACATTAAGGACAATTAGAAGCCATGGATCATCAAAGAACACATCAAGATCCAGTGTCAGGGGCTCAGCTGGTAGTCCACCATTCAATAGACCTTCGTAAAGGACTGCATGAACCCCTTGGTACAAACACCACCAACAAAAAACTCTTCAAAACCTCTACATCCTTCTTAACAACCATCAGAGTCTTATGATTACCTGGGAAAGTCGTCAAGATCTTGGCGATCTTGGCGACTTTCCTAGAAGACTGGATAAACCCCTTGGCGAAAAAACATCCATCCAAAAAACATCTGAAGAACCCCTTAAACCTCGCAGCCACATAAGAATCCCATCCTCTGCAAACTGTGTTTCCGGAGATCCACTTACTACAGGGTAAATTAAGATAATCTAAAAATGTATAATTGACTAAATGAACGCCCTGGCATAGGAACTACCTAAAGGGCCTCTAAAATCTTCAGATAAAGCGATGAACCCTGTTGTCACCTAAAAACCTTGTCAATATCAAAGGACTAGGGTAATGAGGTCAAGCAGGTAGTCAACCCCCCCCCCACAGGGTTTTTAATGACCCACTACAGCCTCCTTAAAGAGGTCATATTCTGCCCTTTTTGGGGTTCATATATTTAATTTATGTACCTACTAAAGTATGTTCACAATTGCTAAAGTTTGAAAAAAGTGTCTGTTTTCATGAACTGCCGCTCCATGCACCGGCTCTCTTCTGACTCTCTCTCTAACGCTCTGAAGTGCCCACGTTCAGAGTCCCCAATTTTTTTATTTTTTTTATTTTTGCACATAGATGTGTCTAAACATGCACAGGACACTTGGAAAACACAATATGGGCCCTTTAATGTCACTGACTGAATCATCACTTTAGACCCCCTGTGGGACCAGTAGAAACCCTCTGAACTTTAAGAACCACCTAAATAAACAGAGAAGCATCATAAAGGACTTTAAGAAACCATCTGCCCCCCCCCCCCCCCCACACTTAAACACCCCCAGAATGCAGACTGACCAGTGTGAACCGCTCAGACAGCGGTTTGAGGACGGGTGCGACGGGGATGCCCAGTGTTGTCATCATCATCTGCAGGTTTGCTATCTGGGTGGAGGGGTCAAGCGTCAAACCCTGAAGGAAACAAAACAAAACATTAAGAACAAGGGAAGAAGAAGAACAGCCAATCAGAGTGCAGCAGACCAGCTCTCCCACCTCAGCGTTAACAGTAGTTGTGTGCACGGTGGGGATGTCACTGAGTATTTTGTCCACCAGTGTTTTCGCTCGCTCGGCTGCTTCTCTGAATGCTGGCGGCAGGTCAGACGGCGAACTGATAGGAGCTGATTGAACCAAAACTGCAAACAGGAAGTGTTGCAGAATGGCAATAACTGGAGAGAAAAACAGAATGATTGTTAAGTAACAGTTCTGTGTACATAGAGTTAATAAAATAAATGTAAAACAATAACAGTCAGGTTTTTTTTATCGAACATAAGATTTTCTCTTGTAACAGAAACCTTTTGTAAAGCCTAAGTTTCCCCATTCAACCTAATAACCTGCTTCGCTTATGGCCATACAACCCCGAACACGCCCGATGTCGGAAACTAAGCAGGGTCGGGCATTGTTTGTACTTGGATTGGAGACCGCCTGGGAATACCAGGTGCTGTAAGCTTACAGGGGACTTCTCTCTGTGCTCGTCCTGTCAGATCTTAGTGCTGCATTTGACATGATTGACAATCAAATCCTATTACACAGACTTTTACTTGGAATTGTTACTTGGAATTACACTGAAGGTTGCTGCTTGGTTTTAACATGCCAACACTATCTTATTGGCAGAGAACACAGTACAGCTGCAGTCTGCAGGAATAACGGATATATGAGATTTGTTCTAAGCATGTTTACACATGGTTGAGTCCATTCCCTGGAATCTTTTAATGTTTAAAATAGTCTTCTAAACACATCAATGACTCTTTGAACTTCTACAAGTACATACAAGAAAAACATATATAATTTATATTTCATAATTGAAAAACTGGGTATTCTCATCACTTTTTGTAATGAATGACAAAGCAGCGACATCTATTAATAAGACACTAAACATAAAACAACAGAAGGTGAACGTAAACATGAAGAATTTAAATCTGCTGTTTCATATTTTAAACACAGGACAACATTACATGTGAAGTAGAAACAGCTCTAATTTGCTCTGACAAACTCAAACAGGAGGTGTTGCATTTTGTCACATGCATAGAATAAATGGAAAGAATTGTGTGGAAAAACCAATGACAGGTATAACGGAAAGCAGTCTATAAAGTAGGCAAATTCCCATGTTGACCTGTGGACGGCACTAGATAGAAAATACAGGATAATGTGACTTAATTAAAAAGGCTACCTAAATGATTAATCAATTAACACATTGACTAATCAATTAACAAATCATTTTAGCTCAGTGTTTGTACACATTTTCATGAATTCCTTAATCTTGGTAATTTTCTGGATATTTCATTTAAATCTGTCAACCATCTTAACGTAATTCTTGTTATAGGTCTGTGAAGCTGTAATACACATAAGACATCTCATAGCAGCAGTTATATTTGGATTGGAGCTAAGTGTATGTTGCGAGCTGAAAAGTCTAAAATGTACAGATCATGTTTTCTTTACAGCCTATTGGAAGTCTCACCAAACTGGAAAGGAATTTGTAGGCTGTACCTTTTCTAACAGAATTTAAGCAACACTGTTTACATGAAAGCTTTATCAGCCATGTGTGTTCTGTTGCTGTGTTGTCTGACCACGGCTGAATAAATCCTAAGAAAATCCAAATTCATCATTGAACATTTACTGCAGAAACAACCCCGACCTAAAACTCAGTTTGTGAACAAACCAGATTTGAAGTTTTAGAATGAATAAGCCTCCATACACCCATTGCGTGTGGCACTAGATACTCCTCATACATGAGTGAAAGGTGTGTCTTTGCTCCACAGTCTGCGGCGCAGAATATGAGCCGATGTTAGATAATATTGAAATTTGACCAAAGAGGCACATTTTCAAATGTAATAAAAGAAATATTTTCAACCAGAATTCATACATACTTTGCAGGACTTAAGCTGCTTTATCAGTTCCTGTGACATTCAAAGTGAGTTCTTACCTATGAAGGTGTTCATGTCTGTCAGGGCGGCTGTCGGTGTCTCGATGTGGGTATCTGTCCGCCGGTGAACTCGGTAATTTCTGTTTCAGGTTCCATTTGCAGCGGTTTGCTCTTTTTATCTTCTCTCCGTCTTGAGGGGTTTTCCATCAACGACATCCGTCATCCCTAAAGTCCCAAGTGAGGAAGCTTGCGAAAACTTTTTACGTCATGACCGTGAGATACGTCACAACCGTAAGCGATGAGCAGAGAGGTCCGTATGAATCAGACTCTCGGAAAAGTGCAGCGGGGTCTTACCTGCGACCGGTAAGTCACGTGACCACACCTTCATTTCTACCTTACATCCTGTTCATTAGGCTTCATGAAGCTGCTTCTGTTATAAATATGAAACATCTCAATTACATTTTTACAGTTTATTAAATGGGCTATCCAAAACGTACAGGTCATTATAATTATAACTATTAATATTATTACTATTAATATTATTATTATTATTATTATTATTATTATTATTATAAGCAGGAATAGTATGGGGCTTATTAAATAAAATCCTACAGTGGTGGAGGAAGAAGCCTTTTGGTTCAGGAAGCTGAAAAAAATGTGTTGTTCACTGAAGGAGTGTGTGTGTTTATGTGTGTGTGTTTTATTATTCCGCTTTAGTTACTTCCTGTGTGTCATCGTGTCTTTTTAAGAAATCCTGGACACATTTGTGAGTCAGCAGATAATTCAAACGTGTTTCAGTTGATTCAGCCCATACTTCCTGGAGGAATTAAAATCTGCAGTGGAGAGGAAAAGTACTTAGGCCTTTTGTGTTGACTACTGTGGTAAAAGTGGGAATACCACAGTGAAGAAATACGATTAAAAGTCCTGCATTAATACACACCGTTCATTTAGGCTATGACTTATGGCGCGCACACTATGGGTCCAACCGCTGCCCTAAAGGAACCTGACAATAGTTCTCATTTCACTGCTTTCAATTTGTCAGAAACTAAACACCAATGGATAGTGAATATCTGTTGGAAAAGTGTGCAATATTTCAGGTTAAAACAAAAATATTTCATAACCCATTACCTGGCGTAGACAGCCACTAAAGTCCTAGCATGTAATATTGTTTGTTGGTGTCACATCTTAAAAACAGTAAAATGCTTTATTATTCATTAGTAGCTTTCAGTTAGCTCAAGAATTGATTGTTGTTTTCTATCATCATGCTTACTGGGAAGCTATTGTCAAAAAAATAAATAAAAGTGTTTGCATAGCTCACTGACCTGCTAACCCTGCCGTGGCTTATTGCTTTCTAAGATAGTTCATTCCTAATCGTACTTTTAATCAGACTTTAATATTAGCGAGGAAGTGTTTGAATGCTCAAGTTAGACGTTGACCAAAAGAAGTACGTGGGATGTTAACACGTGTTGTTGTAAAATATATGTTTAGAGTATGACTTGAATGACACTGAATCACACTGGTTCAACTTTCCCAAAGTATTTGATTTTTCCACCCATGAGTGTTTCATTCCAGGAAATGTCCGATGCATTGAAAGTTGAATGGTAAATTGTGTAAATGTCCTTTCACAGGAAATGTCATTCACATCAAACTCATCTGGAGATTAAAGCAGCCTTTTTAAGTGAGGTGACGTTATGGTGAGAGAACATTTGGTACACTGGACTTCTGAATAAATAAGTCTCTAGCCCGGGGGGAGAAATCAGATGGCTGACTCCTGTAAGGATTATGAAACAAGTCAGCTGGGACAGTTCAGACTCAAGAGGCTGCTGGGAAACTGACAGGACAGTTATGATTTATTTAGTTTATTTCAAGTATCTTCAGTAAAAATGGACGCCAGCTCCAGCTTGCAACATATTCAGATTCTGTTTCTTAGAGTTTGTCGTATTTGTTTCCAGAAAGTGTTTTTTTTTTTTTTTTCCTTTCATGGATTTCTTTTTTTATTTCCTTTCAGCACATCCCATTCATTTTATCACCTTTGGATGAAATTCGAAGAACTGAAAAGATTATTTCAGCAGGCCAGGGGTTTTTTTTTCCTCGTAAAAATATGCTCTCCTATTTTCTCCCTCGGCATTCTGAGGTGAATGTTTAAAAATGAGGTGAGTGAGGCTGAGAACAAGTTTTTCAGGTTCAGTTTTGAAACGGTAAATGGCGCTTTTTCTCGTCTCCTAACTACTTAAAGCACTTTTACACCGCGGTGCCTCTGATTGCAGAGGCTGCTATGTAAGGTGTCCATCAGTGATTAACTAATCCATTCACACACAGTCACACGGCATCGAAGCAGCGGAGCAATTCGGGGTCAAGTGTCTTGCAGAAGGACTCATCTGACATGTAAATGTTAAATGGACTCGAGCTTGTTTAGGGCTTTTTTACTCTTCTGACTACTCAGAGCGCTTTCACACCACACGTCACACCTACACATTCACACACTGATGGCAGAGGTTGCTCTGTGTAATGACCATCATAAGTAACTAACCCCATTCATAAGCCGCCGACGAAGCAGCAGCCGTTCAGAGTTAAGTGTCTTCTTGCCCAAGGACACATCGGACGTGTTGCTGCAGGAGCTGGGGATCAAACCCCCACCCTTCCGATTGAGAGACAACAGTCTCTACAACTAGGCCACAGCTGCTCCCATTGTTTACAACTTGTGTAAATCTGTACTTTTCAAACTGACCTCGTTTCATTTAAACACAATCATAAATTCAAAGTCAGTTTAAATGGGAAACAGCGATTTTAATGTTTTTAAACATTCTGAACTTGAGCTTCAGCCTAAGGGTCTGTTTCTGTTTCTGTTCACAATGAGGACACTCATTAATGAAATGGTGAGGTATTATTGATATTCTTCATTCAGAAAATAATGCAAATGTTTTTAATTATCATGTAAGTTGAATAAAAACAGGAAAAAATTATGTGATGCGTGACAGACGGTCAGATCAGACTACATTACCCAGAAAACCACAGACAACAACATGTAAACAAAACCAATGTGTCTTTTATTCGAGTGAGAGAAACAACAAACAGCGGCTGCAGAGAACAGAAGTTACAGCAGGAATACACAGCAGAGAGAAAGAAGCGAGGGGAGAAGGGGATTGTGGGTAATAACTGTTTAATATCAGCGTGCAGACACACAGATTCACATCCTGTCTGCACAGGAAGTCGGCCGAGAGTCTCATGGGAAACTGTCGTCATCATCTTCTGCCATTTCTTTAGCAAACTCCAGATCCTGCTGCTCTCTTTCCCTACGCTCCTGAACGCACCACAAACGCAGAAATGCCGACATGTTAGAACTGAATAAGCTGTTTTATGAATGTTTAAAAGTGATGATGTTACAGGTGTGCATGTTTTACCTCTGCTGACTCCAGGTCTTTGTTGTAAGCTTTGGGAGGAAACCTCATGGCCTGCAGGAGACACACAGAGTTGATTGTGACATCATTGCTTTACTCTAAGCTAAAGTGGAAACTTACATCAATACAGTACGAGTGCAGGACGTTTCAGAGTAGCATAACAATTTAAAAACACAAAAACAAGTCAAACTTTTTAGGGTTTAAAGAATTGCTGCTACGTAAACACACTGACGCCCAAGACGATTGCAAATTTAGAGACGATTTAAAAAAAACTAACCGAAGATTTATTGAACTCTTAACAAGTTTGAGATATTCTCCCTTTTTCTGATCGAAGACATTTTGAAAGATAAATCTGCACTACAATAGAACCAAACATTATAACACTCAGTTCATGAAAGTCAAGGTTAGCCATTACAGTTCTACTTTTAGATTACAGGACTTTGTTAAATCCTCTCTTCTGTTATAAACGGTTCTGAGTGTGTTTACACAGACGTGGATAGTAAACAGTTAATAAGTCTGACTAATGGTTGTCAACAGTTTAAATGTAGCGACTTTTATTAACAGTTCTTGAAGTTTATAAACCTCTATTAACTGTCATTTCTCTTTCCAATCAGAAACAGTTATTCACAGTTACTAAGCAACCATAAAAATTCATATCCAACCAACAAAACTCTGCTTTCTAAAATCCAAGTTGACACGATGTGGAATCCCTCAGGTGTGTCACAGGTGTGTTATAGGTGAGTGTGTGGCCTTCACTGACATGATATACAATCTGTTAGGGGTGTGTTACTTTCAATGATGTAGAATCCTTTAGGTGTGTGTGTTACCTTCAATTACATGATGTGGAATCATTTAGGTGTGTTACGTGTGTGTGTGTGTGCGTGTGCGTGTGCGTGTCTGTGTGTGTGTGTGTGTGTGTTTTAACTTCACTGACATCATATAGAAACCTTCAGGTGTGTCACAGGTGTGTGTGTTACCTTCACTGACATGATATAGAACCCTATAAGTGTGTCACAGGTGTGTGTGGTGTGTGTGTGTGTGTGTGTGTGTGTGTGTGTGTGTGTGTGTGTGTGTGTGACCTTCACTGACATGATGTAGAACCCTTCAGGTGTGTCACAGGTGTGTGTTTGTGTGTGTGAGTTACCTTCACTGACATGATGTAGAACCCTTTAGGTGTGTCACAGGTGTGTGTTTGTGTGTGTGTGTGTGTGTGTGTGTTACCTTCACTGACATGATGTAGAACCCTTTAGGTGTGTCACAGGTGTGTGTTTGTGTGTGTGTGTGTGTGTGTGTTACCTTCACTGACATGATGTAGAACCCTTCAGGTGTTTCACAGGTGTGTGTGTGTGTGTGTGTGTGTGTGTGTGTGTGTTACCTTCACTGACATGATGTAGAACCCTTCAGGTGTGTCACAGGTGTGTGTGTGTTTTTACCTTAACAGACATGTTGTGGATGTCCAGACAGAAGGAGATTCTCTGGTGAAAAGCCAGCTGAGGCTCTCTGGTGCCGTAGATGTCCATCGTCTCTTTTGATTGGACGAAACCTTTCTCATGATTGATGCTTGCCTCGATCACTCCGTCACGGATCGCCTGATGGACACACACACACAAACACACACACGTCACACAAGGAGTTCCTGCCCCACCTGTTCCCCTAAAAGATATTTGTGACCGACTGTTGCTCTGCAGTGAGAACAGGTCCAGATTAAGACAACATATAATTCATGTGGTTGGTTTTGAAATTGAGCGAGGACTTCCTGGTTACCTTGGCGACAATGAACTCTGCGTCCTCTGGACTGTCGAGCTGCAGCTTCTGAGCGATGTCGGCCAGAGAGATCCGCGAGTACGACAGACTTATCATACGCACACCTGCACACAAACACACACCGCTCAGATACCAGGCCATGAATAGATTTTAAGTTTCAAACATACACACACACTCAAGGATCA